ACCCACCCTAGACAGTCTGAAGGATATGGATCCAAGCACTGATCAATCCATCATTAAAAACATGATTAAACGTTTCATGACACCTATCACGAAATACATTCTAACCAGTATAGATATGACCGAAGTAGATAATGATATGGAATCTGATAAATCTCATGATAGTGATGACAAACAGTGATCTTGAATAAATCTGTAACAAAACCCCTTTTCTCAGCTTGTTTACCTTCATTTGAGAACAGTAAACCATTATAAAGAAGCATTATCAATGCTGAGATGCAAGAAAGAAATCTGGACTCGTCCATGTATTGGAAACTCATCCGAAATTACTTGTCATCAAGCCCACACAGCATCATCGCAATGACGCAAAACACCCGTTTAATTCTCCCAAGATTAACTAACAATTCAGATACGGACTATACCCACAACCTGTTGCGGAGTTTCATGGATGAACGCTCCCAATGACATTGCATTCCCCTGGACCAGCATGCTATAATTTGTTTCAGTTTTGTTATAAGTAACCCGTCTTTTTCCTGTGCTGGCAAGGATGAGAATGTTTTTCCTTGGGTGAATGTTTCAACCTTATCATTCACTGCACATTCATTGGTCAAAACCTGGCATGGACACGATTCATCTGACAGAATGTCATCACCACCTTAAGAATGTCGCTCATACCAGGTCAGTAGGTGACTGAAGTGTGAGGGTTGGAATGTACACAATTGTTCATTGTTTAGGAATCGAAATTCATAATGTACTGAAATACTCGTCAAGCTGTATAAGTAGATGTCAATATCTCATTAAGGCAACGTTAAAATGCTAAAACTTAAAACAAATCAACAGGGTAAGCAGGGAGAGAGGAGAGAGAGAAGAGAGAGAGAGAGAGAGAGAGAGAGAGAGAGTGTGTGTGTCAGTGCGTGTGTGCGTGTGTGCGTGCGTGTGTGTGTGTGTGTTTTACGTTGGATGATTTTCAGTCGGAGGCTGCACTATTTTCCGCCAGGGGTTGTGGTGCTTGAGGTCGCAGTGGAGTTGAAAATACTGGACGCTAAGAAACAACGTGGCGAAAAGTGTGCGCTTAAAGTAATTCCATGGGGACACTGGCAGTTCGGGTTACACTTCATCCCTACTGTGTTGTAATACATCGTCTTGTAGTTTGTGTAGAGGCTGTACATTTGACTGGAACATAACGTAAAGAAAACAAAGGTCTTGATAAGGTCAATGGTGGTAATGGATAACAACTTCTTTATTTTACGGGAAAAGTGACATTTCTTTATGGAGCCTTGTCAAGGAATAGTTTGTGAGTTGGGAATCGAACCCTGGTCTTCGGCGTGACGAGTGAACGCTCTAACCACTAGGCTACCCCACCGCCCCTTGTCAAGCAAGAACATGGTACATAGTACATATGGCAGGAGAAGGACTTTCAGTAACAACGTGCAACATGAGAGATATTCACAAGAGAAGGTTAAAAATATTACTGTCAATGGATGTCCTACTCTGGCACATCTTAAACAATGCTTCTATTACCATCTTCGAAATGGTTGTGATTTTGCCCCGAGCTTTACGCCTTGGCACGACCCTGAACATGTCGAAGGCGTCATGGAAAATGGTCCTACGAAACGTCTTTGAATAGGTTTCATATACGGTCCAGGAAAAAAATCATATCAACAAACCGTCTCTTTGCAAAACGTTTAAAGCCAGTAAATGCATTTATCTTATTGAATTTTCAGTCCCTTTTGATAGCAATGTGACTGGCAAAATTCAGGAAACGCATAGCAAAAATGAATTTCCACAAACATTCCAAGTACACTGTTGTCAAGTTCCCTGTTGTTCTGGGTGCCCTTGTTATCCATGACGTTTGTTCATTATTGTACTTCCCAACTTCTAAAATGCCACTCAAAGAAGTTAAAGAAGTTGCCCTTGGTTTGGTACCTCTGTATCTCTTGACGCAGATCAAAGGTGTGCCAGGGTTCTCCACCGGAAGCACAGTCCTTCTCAAACGCTGCAGAAGGCTGCAGTGTTAGGGAGTCCTCATATAGTTGTGAAGTCGAATCGGCTTAAGGCAGCGCTACCTGGGAGAGGTCCCATTCGCTGTGTGGTCAGCGTGTAAATGGGACAGATGTACCTGAGCTAAATATGAGTGAATGAGTCAGTTTTTCGCCGCACCCAACAATATTCCAGCTATAAGGCGGCAGTCTGTAAATAATCGTGTGTGGGCCAGACATTCCTGTGATCAACACCTTTGAGTATCGATCTACGCAATTGTGATACGATGGCATGTGACAACCAAGTTAGCGAGCCTGACCACCCGATCCCGTTAATCGCCTCTTACGACAAGCATGGGTTACTGAAGGCCAGTTCTAACCATTATCTTCACGGGTCTGAGTTAAATATAAACCTAACAAGTTTGACTGAGCCCGGACAACCCAACCTAAAATAAACTAATTGTGACGACGATGATGGTGATGATGATCATCATATATATAACGTTAAAATGGAGATAATACTGTAATAGCACGATGCATTCGTCACCACTCGCCCCTTTCCGTAAACTCCAAGAAGAGCTTGTCCCGGAATAACACGAACTGGTCACGAATGAGCACGATGGGAAGAGGACATATGATGAGGAAGCCAATTAAACAGGATTAGGTATGCATGACTGGGATGATGATTTCACCGCGTAGTTCACACAAAATGCTGTGTCATAAATGTTATCATATGAGAGTGATTTCATTCAATTTGGATATATATGGACATATGATTAGAGAGCCAATTAAACAGGATTATTTCCTCCCCCTAGAGAGCCTTATTTCCTCCCTAGAGAGCCTTATTACCTTCAGTTTTTTTCGCACACCCGGGCGAGATTACAGACCAGCCTTAAACGAAGAACGGCTGCTAGTTCCTATTGTATAGGTGAAGCGACAGAACACTTGGTGAAAACGTTACAGTATTATACATTAACGTTATAGCCCTTATCAGATACCCGGCTTCTACTTTGAAATTTCACCGATCAATGCGAAATTCAATCAATTCTACCCATGTCTTACATTTATATTTACTACTTATGTATTTCACGTTGTTATAATATACTCATGCCAATAATGGTTGTCACCCCCCTGCCCACCCAAACTCCACACACACCTCACACCCCCACCCCACGCCCCCTCTCCAATTAAAAAAATTGAAGGGGGTGACAACCATTATTGTCATGAGTATATATTGATGCAAAGTGCATTTATCTTGAATTGTCTTTTAGTCCGCCGATACTGCAATGTATATTTGTCACTTCAGTCATCCTTTCGGTTTGTTCCTCAACACATAGTGCTATGTGATTAAACACCAGAAAAACATTATCATGAATTACAACGAATACATGAATGAATACACGGGGTGTACGAAGCGCTTGCAGTATGCTCGATGCAATATCACACACGTTTTATACACACATGGACTTGAAGAGCATATGTCACGCTGAAGGTCCGGGTTCGATTCCTACATGGGTGCAATATGTAAAGTCCATTTCTAGTGGCCCCCGCCGTGATATTGCTGGAATAGTGCTAAAAGCGGCGAAAAATGCCATACTCGCTCAATCACTGAAGAGCATAGCCCCTCGTACCTACCGGTATTTTCTGCATCTTCCCCATCCCCAGAGACCACAGCGAGTGAATTCTAGGAATGGTTCGGCCACCAGCCGGGTATAGGCCACATGTTTCTTGCTGTGACAAAATTCCATTTTTGTATGAGACATTATGGCAAATAAATTTGCACTCGAACGATATATTAAAAAAACCCATAACGTAATAGACGTATTTGTACTACGGTAACTATTGGTTGACTGACTATAAACTGAAATGATAGTCATTAACCAGATTTAATGTGATATTATTAAATCGTTTCACTTTATGTATTATTTTTATGGTAAAATGCTACGGCAAGTAATGATAGAGAAGTGACATATACCTCATTACTCCTCTGAAAGGTACTTCGCATCCAATACAGCATTCTACCTCGCTGTCAGAGGGTCCTAAAATGTCCAACACTTATGATATATTCCCACCGGTTGCTTTCACCTTAAGTGTAAAAAATCGTAGCTTTAACTTTCAGCTAAAATACATATGCAAAGCAGGCATATATTTTGCTCACCTGAAGTACGACAAGGATATGTTTTCCTTCCACCCTCATTATGATGAAATGATGAGCGTTGTTTGCTGCAGTATCGCAATATGTGTCCGTGGGTGTCTCATTTAGCTCATATATAGTGTCCAGGGTCCTGGGCAGTCCTCTCATTGGCTGAGAGCAACAAGGAAGCGGGAAAGCACCGCCAGGTGCAGCAGCTCCATGATTGGTTTGAACTGCAGACATTCAGTATGCATATGCAACAGCGATGTTTCGTTGTACGTTTAGATTTTTCAACCACGTATGGCCTTTCCTTTCGTATTGACGCAAATATATATGCGGTTTTATTCTTTGTATTATGTCAACAATTTACGACATTGACTATTACTTGTGGCAGCGTAAGCAATATACAAAATTAAAAACAATTTGGTTTATGGGTTCGAATTCGGAATTCTCTCAGAGATCCTTACTTTGTTAGTGAAATCACCCAACGTTATTCTTGGATTTCCACCCACTTTCAGTTGACAGTAAAACCATTCACATAGTACTGACACTTTTCAAACACATGTGTACAGGAATCAGTGTCTAAATATTTTATAAAGAACAAATATACACCGATTTTTTATTGGACAAAGGTTATCTTTGAAAGCAAGGTATAAATGAAATTACCTTGATTTTTCCCATTCTCACAACACCGTTCTTCGTGCACTAACAACGAAGATAAATAATACCAATACTTTGATAGTTCCCTTTCAATTGTGGGTACCATTCCTTAACCACAGTTTCACTTTGTACGCAAGGCTTCTGCATACACGTTATCTAAGTTGTACAAAATGACTTGGTTTTGTCTGATATTTAATCCCCTGACCTATTTCCACGATGTAAGTGTTGTGCGCAAATATATATGTGCAGCTGAAGACTACACACTGTTCGGTTGTTCAAACTCACCGATGCAAGACTCCGATCAACGGGACTCGTTGTGGATGACAATACGGGCAGCAGGTTAGGCTTTAAAACTACCTGGTCGTTATAATAAAAATATATAAGCAGTATTCTGATGTTCTTTTCTACAGAATGTCACCTGATCTTCCGTACTGTGACCAACAAACACATCTATGTATTTGCAGAATAATAGCGCTCCACAATTTTAAAGTAGTTTCTAAAAATACAGAAGCATTCTATGCAGCCCTCGCAGTCCTGTGTAGATGAGCCGATGCGTCAGACAAAGATATAAATGTCAAGGACAGAAAAGAACCAATTATTTTCTGGGGTGCCCAGGGCAGAAAGTAAACATAATCCTGTATCAACTGACAATCCAGTGATCAACAGCATGAGCATCATTATACGTAATTGGGATATGATGACATGTGTCAACCATGTCAGCGAGCCTGACCACCTAATCCCGTTAGTAGTCGTTGTCTGACTGGTAAAACCCGTTCGGTCGTCTCGCGTTTGATTGGACACGACCTTCTACTAGGGTTTGTAAGACTCAGTATAGCAGCATAACGAATAATACTGAGCCTACGTTTCCTTAGACTGCATCCAATCGACACATATCTCAACGACATGCTATCGGTCATTTTACGGGTTTGGGACAAGACTAGGTATATTCGTTCGTCTAGCCACAATATAACTCCATAACTCCAGCCTAGGTAGTCGAGAATGGAAACTGAACTTTAGTTGTCTCAAGTTCTTGAAAGGCATTTAGAAGTTGGACGAACATGAATACATGACACGTTTTATCGATAAAAACTGCTTTATATTTTTTATACGACGTTTAAGAGCCAATTATTGCTCCTTCTTCTGGCTCTTAGACGTCGTATAAAATAATAAAAAGAAGTTTTTATCCATAAAACGTGTCATGTATTCAGTTTTCTCGAAAAGATAGAAATACATCGGCCTCGTCGGTGACAGGTCAAATTGTTCTATACATAAAAACTATCCGGTAATACACCAAAGTGCTGTCGCTTATCGTTAGTTAACATCATAAATATTTTACATTTATAGAGCAAAACCTGCAATTGAAATTTTAACTAAATCACCGCAAGGTCGTGGGGAACATGTGCACAGCTGATTGCTATTTCCGGCAGATTCCACTGTATGTCGAACCGAACAATTTTCAGGCAGGACTTTTTCATCTGCACTAAAGGGGTTGGAGTATATTCCTGGTAGTAAATAGCAGCCTCAATACAATCTAAACAAATCCAAGGTATGGAAGAGAGCAGTTTATTTCATCAAAATGTGTGTATAATATAAGTGTTTAAAAAATATCCACAACAAAGTACAGCTACTCTACGACTAGATACCGACTAGACTACAGTGACAATGCCATTTATGGTTAAACAGACGTTCATAAGTACACCGACTTTCAATTTCATAACAAACAAAACAAACCAGTGAAATATTAAGGATAATTAGTAATACTAACTCCCAATAATCATGTTGCATAATGTGCTTACTGACGCCACCAGGTTGTCTTAGTAACGGATATGTCAGTATAACACAAATGTCGCTGTCTTTGGAAAAACCAAAAACAAGTGTAACGACTGAAAGCTTCAACCCTTGTCCGGCACTTATTCGAATAAGTGAAAGAAATATAAATGTCGTGCCAATAACGACCTAATCTTTTTCCGAATTCGTTTTCAATAATAATCTCATAAAATCAGATCTCTCACTCGATGGGAAGAGGTAGCGTATCTTAGTAAAAGATCTTAATTAGATGAGGTCGATTGGTAAGGGTCGTGATTCTATTATCCACGAGGTTTCTTTTAAAAAAACCCATTTTTTTCGCTTGGTATCTCAAGGAAACGCATCCGTAAACAATTTAAGTGGCCTGAACATCAAGACGCATCAGACAACACATAACTGCATCGCTACAACTGGTCAGCGTTGTATGGGTGTTGAGGAAGTTAGCGATGGTAATGATATCGTTACATATATAACAAAGGATTAGGATACACTAAGAACAAATCGTATACCAGCTTTGACGATGGTAAGGTTGTACAAACAGACGACAAACAACCTTTATCGAAGCAAGGGGTGTTAAAATCAAATCGTGATCTAACGGAGAAGTAATATAATAAAAAGCACGAAATAAAAAATCCAATTGTATTTACACAGGTAATACCACACAAACACATTGAATGATGGTTTACCTAAAACCTCTGTTCTTCGTAACATTGATATCCATGATTCCTTGATATTCGGGTCTGATACCGACTTCGGTGCGCAGTGTGTCTCAGAATGAGTATTGATTCGTGTTTGTGAGATTCATAAACTAGCACAAGTTCTGACCTTCCTGATATTAAAGATTATGATTACCGAAACTGCACCGTATACGTTTACCTAACATTTCTGGTTGTTTGTGATGAAAATCACAAGGTTCTCACCCTCGACAGTCCAGTGTCATCTCTCCACAGTTTTGTAAACCACTCCAAAAATGTTAAAAAACACGAGATTTTGACATAGAATTATGTCAATATGCCATATCTGATTGCAGTTGGTTTTCCAATTAGGTTCTTCCTTAATTTAATCTGAGTAAAATGTTACAGATGTTGTTTACTGACTAGCTAATTATTTGACTACACCACAAAAAGTAGTAGAATCTGTACGTTGCCGAGAATGTGTAATCCCAAATTGAACATGTTTCGTTTGACCACTTTCTAAAATGATATGTTTGTTATTCAACAGAACACCCATCAATATTCCAGCAAAATGTGACGGCTGCGATGACTTGCATCAGCTTGGTCAGCGAGCATGATCTATTTTTTAAAGCCATTATTTCATATAAATAAGGTCAAATAATAACACATCTTATTTTATGCTCTGATGAAGTCAGCTTGCTTTAGTACATATTGTTAGTGTACGCATTTCACTATTTTAAGGGGCAGTGGGATAGCCTGGTGGTTAAGGCGTTCACTCGTCACGCCGAAGACCTGGGTTTGATTCCCCACATGGGTACAATGTGTGAAGCCCATTTCTGGTGTGACCATCCGTGATATTGCTTGAATATTGCTCAAAGCGGCGTAAAACTAAACTCACTCCTATATTTTATTGTGTTTCAGCCGAGCAACAGTCAGGGGTTGTTTCTGTCACTCTCTACAGACTTGAACCAGACGACGTGAGTATATTTACAAATCTGTACGAAAATAACCATAGCTTAATGACAATCATTATTCATTACGTACTTTAGAATGAAACTTCTACTTTCATGATTAAGTTTCATCGGTGTCACTTCATCAGTTGTAAACTTGATCGTACGTAAATAAGGACAGTTTTTGGTTCTTGTTGTTGTCGCATTGAGACATTGCGCCCTGTGTCCCTTCTAAGATTCCATAGTGTCAGGTACCTCTCGCGTATTTTCAAAAGTAAGTGGTCTGGCAGCCTTCAACATTTTATTTGTGTTGTACTCATTTCATTGTTGTTTTGCTTATGGACCCATTGATAGTCGGGTCAGAGTATATGTATGGCCTCAGCAACCAATGCTTGTCCCCAGTTGTGCAGACCTATGCTCATGATGTCAGTCACTGTATTGTCTGCACCAGGCTCGATTAATTACAGACCACCGTCGTATAGCTGGAACATTGTTCAACAACAAATACACAAAAAACACTTAATGACTAAATAAATGTTGTGGTCAGGTTCGGTAAACTGTTAGATGAATTGTCATCGTAACCGGATTGTGTAGATCGATGCTCATGATGTCAATCACTGGATCATATAGTCCAGGCTCGACTACTTACAGACCACCGTCATGTTCCCTGGAACATTGCTCCCTGTGGCAGTAAACAAAACGTTTATAAAGCGAAAGGAACAAAAATTTAACACTGAAATATTATGTCTATATATACAGCAAGGGTTTGAACTCTTAAGATTTGCCCATGTGATTAATTTAGACAGACTGAAATATTTACTGACTGTCTTCTTAATGTCGGGGACACGTTTTGTTTGCTACATATATTGACTGAAGCCAGACGGACAAAGGGTAGGGAAGGGTTATTCTTGATTGGCCTTGATGATGGCAAACTGTAGGGATGTAATAACCTTAATCTCTGTTGATTGTCAGGTTGAGTCGTTGATGTTGATAGCCTCTAAAAGTTTTCTTATCTTGTAGTTGTCCCAAAGGATGGTATGCTACGGATGGGCTTGGGTGTGGTCGGAAATGGCGTTTTCTTCACAGATGTCTGATGTTCCTTGTTTCTCATGATTAGGGGCGGGACTTTTCATCTATGTACGAGTCACCACATTCGCACTGAATATGGTAGGCAACAGCTGAAGGGCCTTCTTTGATGCTTGTAGTTGTTTTACCGTTGGCTTGTAGAATACGCTGAATTGATGTGCCTATCGGGAACACCACATCTATGTTGGCTTTTTCCTTTAGTAATCCATTAGTTTGATGTAAGAATCTGAGTAAGGGTAACATTTGGCCGAAAAAGCTCGTTGAGTGAATAATATTTGAACCCAGTCGTTACATGCAGACACAAATCAGTCAAATCTCGCCTTGTGAACATCAGATTCTCATTGCGCTTCATCAGTTCAACTTCTTGTCAATACGCGTAAAGCTACGAACTATACATTGATACTTCATCAGGTCAAGCTGATCAGTGGGAATGTATGGAATTCTGTAAGGGACATCCTCGTATTTCCTATCTTTTGAAACCAGGAAAGGGTGAAAATACGAGAAAAAAGTGCCCCTTACATATGCATGCGAACTGTTTATTTTGTTTTGAGCGCTTATTTGTTGTTCAAATTCGTAATTGAATGAACAAATCGTTTATGAAATTCTCACAATTTTATTATCAAATATCGTAGAAGAGTTGTTTCAAGAAATACAATGCAAGCGTATAGGCACAGCTATATGCATTCTTTTATACATATTGAATTGTACTGGTTATTTAATCAGTATTATTTGATACATATCAGCACTTGTATACTGGACACTACGCTCCTCTAATCCTTGCAAACACGTTGTGCAGCGTGCTCTGTCGTACAGCGTGCTCTGACAAACGGAAATAAAGTTTACCAGTCTGGTACGGACTTGGTATTATATCAACCACATTGTGCGTTACAAGCATACACTGAATAAGTGCAAACGCACATAACAGGGGTAACCAGTGAGCCAGATGAATTTTGAATCATTTTACGACCTCATCAAACAGGGGCAGTCTGTGACGTCTTAGTTAAGGTCAAGCTGCCTAAACCTCGCCACAAAATATAGGAATATGATTTTTATTAACGTTTAGAATTAAAATTAACTGTAAATACCATTTTCATATGAAACAAGGAATTGGAATTCAGTGTAACCATAGTTGTTTGTAGTGTCTCTTTTCACTTTCACACGATAAAATTTGGATCGGCTGAAAAGTAGGTCATTGTCTGAAATGGTTAATGAGACTTATGTTTCGGTTTGAAGAAGAAACTGCAATGAAACCCTAAACTATGTCTGATAGATGTTTCACAATTATGTAATCAAGGTCTTCATTAGATCAAAACACATTTCACATAAAATCTAATCACTTTCAAGCGAGTATTATCTTTGCACCATAGCGTGTTATTCGAAATAAAACCCCACACGTTTAAGTGTGACCTTGGTTTCTTTTTGACCTTGTAGTTTGATTTCTTAAATGTGTGATGGGTTTGGTCTTTCAGCAATATTCAGCGGGGGACACATTGAATGGGACGTTGGGAGGAACCGTTCATGATGAACTGTGCCAGTTTGTGCTTTCCTCGAGCGTTTAGGTTAACGTGTTATGACATAACCGAAATTCTGACTGTGATGTCTGATCAGATGTAAATATCTCAACGTTAAAAGACTAACTCGAAATACAAACCAAGCGGGTAATTGAATTAGCTTTTGTTGGAACACTCAGTATGGAAATGTAACACTGAGGTCAGAAAACAAAGAAAAAAGCGAATACGATTCGGAAAGACTTCCGACCGTATCCCCCCACCCTCCCCTTAAATTTCATTCTAGTCAAATCATATCACCTGAATATATATTGCTCATCTGATAATGATGAGTTTTAAAATGTTTCTTTAATTGTATCTGAACATACTGATGGACAAAACTTGAGGTATATATCAATATGAATATAGCTTTCTCTAATTGTAATTATGTCATTTTTCAGCTTCTGGTCCTCCTTCCATACCTTATTTGTCAATAATTACATTTTTATCAACAGACTCGTACAACGTGTAACACTTATTATACACGCACTGTTTGACCATTTTACATATCTGTGAACAGCATGATATTTGACAATGTGATCAAGAAAACACTGTACTTGTGTACTATGAAGCTACATATACTGTACTACTGATAAAGTTTGTAAACATAATTCTAAGAATAAAATCCTGAACAGAAAAAAAGGATATCAATAAAGCAATAAACATATTTTCCAATAAAATCCTAAAGTTTTCAGGTCTATTATAGATTACTGCGTGAGGTTTTAAAATATCATACTATGCAATGTTATGTTTTTACGCATGTTGCTGACGCATTGCTTTATAAGCAAAGGAAAATAAAATTGTTACCATGGATACATCAGATAAAGCAATCGAGATATTAAATTCATGAACGAAGGACACAATAGAATTTATATGACATATATTTACTTCTGAAATGTTGATAGCGGCTACATTGTATCATAAAATAGTGTGTGAAAACACTTGAAATTACCTGCACGCTTGGTTGAACTGTGATGCTATTTACGTGTATGAGTGAGTATGGTTTCCGACACTTTTAGCAATATTTCCTTAGTATCAAGGCAGGGACACCAGAAATGGGCTTTACACATTGTAGCCATTTGAGCGATCGAACCCGGGTCTTCGGCGTGACGAATGAACGCTTTAACCACTAGGCTACGCCACCGGATTACTATTTAAGGATTTCGAGAGGTGGATTTTATGGAGAAGTGGAACTCCTTTCAATAAGAACCTTTAGAGTGGAGAACTTAAGCACGTGTGTGTGCACGTGCGTGCGTGTGTGAGCGTGAGCGTGCGTGCGTGTGAGAGAAATAGTGTGTGTCAGTGAGTGTGTTTGTTGTTTGTTTGTTTGTTTGTTTGTTTGTGCGTGCGTGTGTGTGTTTTAAAGGGACCGGTCATAATTTATGGCGGGGGGGAGCTGGGATGATGATTTTAGGGGGCTACCCATTCTGTTATGAGAAGTTAGGGGAAGTCATGAATTTTGTACATTGAAATATTTAAAAACAATGGGAGGGGGAGGCTCACTGAGTTTGAACATGACATGTAAGGGGTCAATTATACACCCAACCACAACCCCCAGCCATGAATTATGAATGGTACCTAAGTTGGGTGAATTTCAGTAGGAGGCTGCACTATGTTCCGCCAGAGGTTCTGGTGTTGGGCGTAGTGGAGTTGGTCGTGGTCGAGTTGGAGGAAACACTTGGATTCATATTACTCCGTAGCATGGGAGGTGAGCCCCAAGCGATTCCGTGCGGACACTGGCAGTTCGGGTTACACTTCATCCCTACGGTGTTGTAATACATCGTCCTGTACTGTGTGTAGACGTAGTACATTTGTCTGGAACAGAAGAAACGTAAAAGTCTTGAAGAGGGATAACGTCATTGGTTGTAAGAAATTAGACACAATTAATGGATAACAGCTTCTTGATTTCCCGGCAAAAGCGACATTTCCGTATGGTGCCTTGTTAAGCAAGAATGCAAATGAACATGGTGCATAGTATATATGGTAGGTGGAGGACTTGCAGTAACAACTTGCAAACATGAGAGATGTTACCTAGAGAAGGCTAAAAGTAATACTGTCGATCGAAGTCCTACTCTGGCACAAACGGAATATCTAAAACGGTTGTGGAAACGGAAATGGTTGTGGATTTGACCCCGAGGTGCCCTTGGTTTGGTACCTTCTTATCTCTTGACGCAGATCCGGAGCGTGTCTGGGTCCCCACCAGAAGAATATTATCCGTTTAGTTGGGAAGCCGAACCAAAAGGTGCGACCGAGTATCTGTCAGTTTACGTGGTTCTCGCAGAATGACCTATATTTGGTGAGGCTTTCAACCGGGGGTAATTAATTGGTCTTGAATATTTACATTAAATGTTTATTCTAAATTTATTTCTTGTTCATGTTTAATCATGTTAAGTAAATTGGTTTTAAATATGAACATAAGATAACTGGACATTCTTCTGACTGTTTTTCAACCAATGATGACGTTTAGGCCTATAAATTTTCTATAAAAGACGTTTTCCTATTAAACTTAACTATTTTTGAGTATTAACATGATGTATAGCTCCACCCCCCCAAAAAATGAGACAAATCTGAATTTTAATCAACGATAAAAGTGCCTCACTCTTTTGGGCAAAAACTATACATGTATTATTTTAAAGTTTAACATGTTAGTGATATTTTTGATCAGTAGTAGTTGAGCATTACAGCAATATTCATTGGAACATCTACAGTATTTTACATTATCATGATTATTGGAGATCTGTTAGCATGGTCAGGGTAAAAAGTAAAAATATGCATATTTTTGAGGTTACACAAATGTTTGCATTAAAGTATACATTTATCATGATTATATGTCAAATGAAAACATAAGCGAGGAGCCTAAGTGAGAAGAGGAAACCATCAGGATCCCCATTAGACTCACTACTACCGAAAACACCGAAACAGACGACACTAGAAGGCGTGTTTACGTTTGAGACCAGCACCCCTCAGCGTAACCCCCAGGGATCAGAAGCCTGTACCAGTAAGAGTTTGAACGCCCCGCCATCACAACACCCAGACTCGGCTACGTCCGGTCAGGACGACACAGAGCACGATATCTCCTACCCGTCGTCCCTATTCAACTTCATCAACGAGGCCTCTCAAGATGTCCTAACAAGCAAGTTGACAAGTGCGTTGATGTTACCCCAACTGCAGGACAAATTCAAACAGGCGTTCATGTTGGTGGCAAAGGACGTCGTTGAGGCTGTATTGAGGGAATACATCGAACCCATGCAGAAGGAGATCAAAGAACTGAGGACTGAACTGAGGATGAAAACGGACGAACTAGAGCAATATAGTCGTAGGAATTCCCTCAGGATCAGCGGATTACCGGAGGACATACACGAGGAGGGCAGGGACACCGAGAACATCGCCATGGAAGTACTGAGAGGACTACACCAGACCCTATCTCCCTCAGACATAGACAGGTGCCACCGTGTAGGGAGGAAATCTAAGGACAAGCACAGGGACATTATTATCAAGTTTGTGAACTACAATGACAGGAACAAAGTGATCATCAACCGGAGGAAACTTCGCGATACACGGTGTAATGTGTACATCAATGAGGACTTAACTAGACACAGAAGTCGCCTATACAAGCTAGCCAGAGAACTCAAGAAACAGGGACGAATTGAGTCAACGTGGACAAGAGATGGACGTGTGAACATTCTCGAACAGATCGAAGGACGTACCCGTGTGATTCACGACGAGTCGGAACTCGATCAGTACAGGAGATAACTGTGTTCTAGTTGTGTTCTTGTGATGTGTGCTAATCAAGGATATTCATGGATTGTAAATATGTAAAATGTAAGTAAATTTGAAATCCACATTCTAGCCGCTACACATCCTGTTATCATGTTTTTGTGTGTATATATCACTGTATATAGCCTTACCTTTCTTGTTTCCAACTTTCTCATTATTTGTACCAAATCTGTTATTTCTCCTCAGTATCCATATTCCATTATTGTATCCAAGCTCAAGCTCAGATCTGCATTGCCGTTCAGTCATATGTCACAATTATGCATGTATGTATCCACTATTGTTGACATCCGACCCGCCTGTCACACTGTAACCATATTCTATGTATCAGTCTGTTTAAACAATGGGTAATAATGTTATGCAACATCGTGTGGCGATCGGTGTCTTCAATTGGGTCCGACTTTGCAAACAAATGCGTATGAATGTAAAACATTATTTTTTCAGCATGAGTGGCAAATCGTTCAGAGAACATTTTCTCACTGACCTCTCCTGCATGTATACTATCTTAACAATTTCATGTAAATCAAGCTGTGTGTTAGTTACTCTTTGTGTGCTGCAGTCGCAAGTTGTCAATATCAATGTAGTATTACATCTGCTATTGTTAATTCAGCTTGCGGGAGACGTAGAGTTAAATCCAGGGCCATTTTCACGTGCAGACTATGACAAATCTCTTTCAATCTTCCATCTCAATGTGAGAAGTTTACGCCACAAACTAAAATACCTGTCTGAATATTTTTCTGAATATGACATTATTTGCCTAACTGAAACCCATTTAGATTCCGATGTTGATACTGATACGCTCAAATGGGTGAATTTTCATGAACCCATACGGAAAGACAGAAATTCTTTCGGTGGTGGAGTTATCATGTATATCAATCACGCTGTCTGTTTTACGAGATTATGTCATCTTGAAAATCACTGTGATGAATCTATATGGGTTAAAGTATTTATCCCACAAAAGCCGCTTGTGTTATGTGTGACCTACAGACCACAATACCAAGGTTTAGAATACTGGAGTCGGCTTGATAGTAGCATTGAGACTGCATTAGATATCTCGAGTAAAATTACCGTTGTTGGCGATCTAAATGCAAACCTTTTGTCGAATAATAACACGTATCTGCATGATTTAATAGCCAGGAAAAGTCTGAAAAATGTTATTAAAGACCAAACGAGAGTAACAAAAACAACGAGCACACTGCTTGATCCCATCATTATATCTGAAGATGTTGATGTTTTAGACAGTGGTGTTGTAGATTTATGTACAAGTATAAGTGACCACAAAGGTACGTATATCACCGTTGATGCTCATGTAAATACCAGGTTAGCCTACAAAAGAAATGTATTATGTTATGAAAGAGGTGACTATGAGAAACTCAATGCTATGATTAATGAGACAAATTGGTATAACATATTTAGTAGTTGCAGGAATGTTAATGAAGCCTGTGCACTGTTTTATAAGCATCTCAACCGTTTTATATTTGTGTGTATTCCTTCTAGAACGATCACCATTCGACCAACTGATAAACCTTGGTTTAATTCAGAACTTCGGAGAGAATGTAGAAAAAGAAATAGAATGAGAAAAAAGGCCCAAAAGACAAACCGTCTAGTAGATATTTTGGCTTATAAGAAACAAAGAAATAAAGTAAATAATATGAAATGTTATGCAAAGGATTCATTTTATGCCAGTCTCACAAACGATTTTTTACTTGATCTGTATTCTAGTAATAAAAATTCCTATTGGAAATTACTTCGGTTTTTGATTAAAGATTCAGGATCAGTCACTTGCATTCCGTCTTTAAGACAAAATGATGCAGATGAAAACCCAACATTATTCACTGATATGCAGAAAGCAGAGAAACTTAACCAGTATTTTCAGTCTATATCTAGTATTGATGAAGAAAACACAGATATGCCATTCTTTGACAAACGCACTGATTCTGTTTTAGATAGTGTAACAATTGATGTAAATGAAGTGTCCGATATAATTAAATGTTTACATCTGAAAAAAGCTTCTGGCCCGGACAGAATCAGTCATAAGTTTCTTAAAAATGTTGTACATTCAATAAGTATCCCACTGTGCATGTTATTTAATCAGTCATTAAAAAGTAGTATATATCCAAGTGTGTGGAAAGAAGCAAATGTAATGCCCTATTTAAAAAGGGTGATCCATCAATGGCCTCTAACTATCGGCCTATATCCTTGATCAGTTGTGTGGGCAAGGTGTTTGAGAGAGTGATGTTTAAACGTCTGTACAACTATTTTCATGCAAATCGATTATTGTATAAGTATCAATCAGGTTTTCAGTCTGGTCACTCAACTGTCCATCAATTAATTGAAATATATGACCAAATATGTGCGGCTTTAGATGATAAAAAACACTATTGTATGGTTTTCTGTGATGTCTCTAAAGCTTTTGATCGTGTGTGGCATAAAGGTTTATTGTTGAAATTAGAAAAATACGGAATTCATGGTTCCGGAATTCATGGTTCCACTACCGCATAAAATATAAAACTCTTCTCCTTGTTTTTTAAAAGTTTACATGGTCTAGCTCCTCAGTACCTCTGTGATCTGTTCCACCGTTATACTGCTGTACGTTCTCTCCGATCAAATGACCAGTGTCTTTTGACAATTCCTGTGACTAGGACAAAAACATATGGTGACAGGTCACTTGAGACGGCTGGCCCTCATCTCTGGAACAATCTTCCATCTCACCTCAGAACACAACCAGATTTAGCTGTTTTTTAAATCAAATCTGAAGACATGTCTCTTTGGTGAAGCATTTGAACTATATGTGATATCTTGACCATCTTAGAGCCAGAGCGCCTTTGAGCGGATTACGGATATTGGCGCTATACAAGTATTTGTATGTATGTATGTATGGTTCATTGTTAAATTGGCTAGCAGATTACATAAGTAATCGTTCACAAAGCGTCTTTGTGAATGGAGCCCTATCCCAAGCCGGGGTATTTACAAGCTGGTGTCCCTCAAGGGTCAGTCCTCGGTCCTTTCTTATTTCTTGTTTATGTCAATGATATTGCTGATGATTTAAACTGCTTGACACGATTATTTGCTGATGATTCGTCTCTTGGCTCATCTTCTCATGATCGTCTATTCATTGAAAGAGATTTGAATTCAAACTTGGAAAGGCTGCGGGCTTGGGCAAAGCGGTGGCTTATAACATACAATCCTGATAAAACTGAGGCAATCTTTTTCTCCTTGCAAAAGAATGTTGATGCACTAAATCTCTACTTTAACGGGGCTTGTGTCAAAATAATTAATAATCATAAACATTTGGGATTAACATTTTCAAAAGATTGTAAATGGTCTGACCATATTGATAATATTGTAAAAATAACTTCAAAAATGATATCTTCTCTACGTAAACTCAAATTTTTATTACCGCGCTCTGTATTGAATAGAATTTACGTATTGTTCATAAGACCCCATTTTGAATATGCGTGTGAAGTATGGGATGGATGTGCTAAATATCAAGCAAATAAATTAGAACAACTGCAATTAGAAGCAGCAAGAATTGTAACAGGTTTACCTAAATATACTCATCATGAACATCTGTATTATGAAACTGGTTGGGAATCTTTAGCAGAACGTAGGAGAAAGCGTAAACTTCGCCATTTTTACAAAATACAGAATAATATGGCACCATCGTACCTTATTGATCTTGTTCCTGGGGACGTAGCATCTAAATGTAGCTATAATCTTCGCAACTCTGATGATGTCTCACTTCCTTTCTCGCGATTAAAATTTTCGTATGATTCTTATTTTTCATCCACAATTAGAATGTGGAATGTACTTCCAGTTGAAGTGAGAAAAAGCGAGTCATTGAATTCTTTTATATCGAATATTGTTATAAAACATAAAACTGCTCCTCAATACTTTGATTCTGGACCGAGAATCACTAACATCATCCTTACAAAACTACGTTACATGTGTAGTCAGTTGAATTATGATCTATTCCGTGCTGGTTTAAGAGAACAACAAGATGACTACTGTAATATCACTATTATGGGCAGAGGACTGTTCACACCTGATGAGAAGGCCAAATAAACAGGATTATATTTCTGTTCTTTTCTTCTCTGTAACTGGGACGATTATTATGTAAATAAAGGGGTGTTAAACAAAACATTAAGCAATATTGAATAGAAATTATGGACAATATAATTAGGTAAGTTGTTTTGCTAATAAATTATGCATTGCTTTTATAATTCGTCAACTTTTTTAATTCGAAACTTTTCAGAAACTTTTCAGTTTTTTTTGCAGATCCGGTCCCGATTAGAGACCGGTCTTAAACAAAAGACGGCTGCTTGTTCCTGTATCGGTGAAGCGACAGAACAGTTGGCGAATTAAAACGTGAGAGTATTTTATATTAACGTTGTAGCCTTTATTACATACCCGGCATCTGCTTTGTAATTTCATCCCTTAATCAGAAATTCTAATTGTTCTACCCACGTCTTATATGCATATATACTACTTATATATTTCACCTTGTTATAAACTCTTCCAAACAAAAAAAGAAACGCACAGGCCACAAATAAGGAAATGTATAAAACGAATTTAAGTGTACATCAGTCGATTAATACTGAACATAGATGAAGGAAATTCGACACATGGATGAATATATGTATTGTTGTCATTGTCAGCATTAATTCATTTCACTCACTGCGTATGTGTGAACACAAGGGGGCGTTCAGGTCAGTACCTGGTGACATCATCCCTTGCAGTGCTCGACACCGCCTTGGAAGGGATTGCACAAGCCGTCGTTTTGCTTGGGGAATTCTTCGCCATTCCTCGTGCAAAGCGTTGGCAAGTGTCTGAGGACTATGGTTACGTTTACGGACGCGTCGATCAAGTTCGCCCCACAGAATAATCGACTGATGTACACTTCAATACAGTTAAAACATTTCCTTATTTTTGGCCTGTGTGTTTCTTTTTTTGTTGCTGTTTTGGCAGAGTTTATATTTGTCAGTTCAGTCATCCTTTCGGTTTCTTCCTCGACACATAGTTCT